GTCTTTGCAAATAGGGAAGGGTGGAGGGGGTAAAGGGGGGGCAGGGGAAGGGAAAAAAAGTAAGAACCAAGAGACTCATGTAATGGTACAAGATCCCAATGATGAACGTAACTGTATTTTATACCTAAAATGTACCAATATAGTTAATGGGGAAAAAAGAAAAAAAAAATAATGAGAAATTCTTGATGAACTAGCTGTACCTTTCAATGGAACCACTAAGTTGAACTATGAGACAATAAATACTACAGATCTTGCTTACCCATTCTCATTTTCTCCAGGCCAAATGTCATCTTCATAGAACACATCCTCTTGGCTATTTTTGGCTATATAACTAAACAGTTCTGGAGCTCTAGCGAAACAAGCAAACAAACATATTGTTTGAAAAATAAATTAATGATGTCAAATAAATTTCCTATGAAAGAATTTCACATCCTAATCGGAAACGTAAAGTACACTAAAGGAATTATGATTACAGTATTTTTGTTTGTTTTTTGAGACAGGGTCTTGTTATGTAGTATAGTAACCCAGGCTGGCCTTGAACTTGTGGCAATCCTCCTGCCTCAGCCTCCCAAGTGCTGGGAATACTGAATGTACCACCACACCCAGCTATGATTACAGTATTTTAAAGAGATTTATTAATAAAGACTGAAAGATTTAAAAGCTAGAGTATTCCTGTACTCCCACTGGCTGAGAAAGAAATAGTTCAATTAATAAACTTTAAAAAAAACTGTGAGTCTGATTTTTTTTTTTTTTTTTAAGAGCAGGAAAAATTTATTGGGAGAAAGCAAGCTTTTGCCTAAAAGAGACAGAAGGGGGGCCAGAAAGTGGGTTGCCTGCCTGCCCCGCCCCAATTCTTTGATTATAATAACAGGTGATAAATGGGCAAAAATAGTATTTACAAGTTCATTTTCTTATTTTCACAACAAAACTGGAATACTGCACAAAACAACAAATTAAAACACATTAAAGTATCTTATGGAATTCCTCAAAACTCCCTTTCTTTCTGAATAGTGCAAGACTTGCAGGTATATTTAAGAAGACTGAACACATGTTTATTTTTGGTCCTTTCCCAATCCACTAAAATGATGGTGAAGTATAAAAAAGGGAAGAGGCAGAGAAAGACAAGTAAGGAGAGAAGCAGAGTATCTGATGGCATATATGAATTCTTAAATTTTTAGAAATTGGAAACTGAATAGATGAGTAAATGATTTCTCAGGAAGTAATAGGCTGAATCCTAAATCATCAGTAAGGGAAGTCAATGAAAAACAAATCTAATGATAAGAAAAGTCAAAACACCACCTCTTTATAAACTGTGCTATAAAGCAGACCGTTTCTTATTCCTAGTTCAATGTCTCCTAGTTTGTGAACTGTTGTTTTGTATGCACAATTAACTTCTACAATTGCAAAAACAAAAACAAAACAAAAACAAACCACACACACAGAAGTAAGATGATTTAAACCACAGGAATCTGCAAAAGTTCAAGAATTATGGGCTCCAGGAATATTTGAAGGGTGTAGCATGGGGTGAGATTTAGTAGGATTTTGGTTGAACATTTAAGTCACTAACAGTTAGACTTGCCTACTACTCCAGCATAGGACCTGTCGTTTACATCTGAGAGATCAAAAAGGAAATACTCTATCCTTGGGTATACCAGACACTGTAAGTTGGAGTGGGGTGCCAAGAGGACAAGTGCGATGCTGAAAACAGAATTAGTGTCAACTGTACAATACATCATTTGGAAGCATAATGCCTCTAGGAAGCAGACTTGGAAATAAAGCACAAAGGAAGTCTAGCATGGAGTGCTTGGGGGTCAGTACCAGTGGAAGGGAAAAAAAGGAAGGAAGCAGAATTGGGCAAAGGGAGAAGCTGAACTAGAATTCATTCTCAATGAATTCCTTGGCCGGCCCCATAGTGATCTCAAACTAGGATGGCCCTTCATTACTTGTACTGAACTGGGACAAACAGGTTGTTGTTTGGGCCTTCACACCTTCTAGATCAAGGCACTGATCTGGGGAGGCCGTGGAAAAGGGGTATAACTTTAGGTGAACTAGTACTAGTTCTCTTCATCCAGGCAATTCATAAAGAGAGCTTGCAACTGAGAGCTGTCAGTAGCATTTACGCTATTGGGAGAATAGGTCCTCTAGTCTTAAACAGAAATCTGCTGGCCTTATCATAGTATCTGCTGAGTAACAAGACCCCCTTTCTTGGTTAATTTCCAGAATACTAGCAGTCATTTTTGTCCCCCATATCTACTGTGCAAGAAAACAGCTGGAATCGTTCTTAGTCTCCATTGCATTGATTTCTCCTCTGATCTTTGTAATTTCCTCCCTTGTATGAGCTTTGGGTTTGTCCTGCTCTTCTTTTTCTAGAAGCTTGAGGTTCAGCATCAGGTTGTT